TGTTAAGCCACATTTTTTTCAATATCACTGAGCCTGTGCTGTTGAAATCTCTCCCCCTCCACCTGTTGTATTCTTTATTTTCTATAATAGAGAATGCCAAGAGAGGAGCTTATACATACAGAAGTAGGTAGAAACAACTACAATTCCCAGGTAGACATTAACAGAGCCAGGAATTAAGGCAAGGAGAGCTTGCTGTCAGGGTATAAAAAGCCAATTTGCTGACACAGCCCACCAATTCCATTTACAACTAAAATATATTTTTTGGGTGGGCTGCCCCTTTAAGTATTTATTTAGAAACTGAATTTCCAAATCTACTTAAAATGAGCAAATCATCATATCAAGGTGGCATCTAGGTATGATTTTACCTAGATGGCATTGAAAACATTTTTTTTTTTTAAAGATGTATGATGAGTGAAAAAAAAGTGAAAAGCAAAACTACGTGACTGTAAATAAAATAATGTATGGGTAGCTATTAGTTTTGGTACTAAACCTATCTATGTAGTTAGTAGTAGAAAATACACCTACTCCACAGTAATGGCCGTATCTTGTGCAAAGGACAATGGAATGAAAATATTAGTAGCAATATATTATTGTTGAAATAGAACATTGAAAGTTAAGAACTTGTAGCTTTTATACTTTCTCTTTCATCTAGAATTGATGAAAATAGTTAACATTTGCTACTAGGATCCAGAATTGCATATTCCCTTTTATATTCCCCCCGTATATGTGCAAACCAAAGCATCCCTTTTACAGAACAGATGTATAACCTTAATATTTAATTCATACTGCTATTGTACCTAAAATTAAAAATGTCTTAAAAGTGCAGAGTCTTATTTATATTATGTTCTTCGTTCTAAAACAATGTCTGTTCCCAGTGGTTTTGAGCTCGTATACAGCAAGGTGAATTCTTTTTTAGACAAATGAAATATGGGCATTCTTTGCTCTTTTAGTTCCCAATACATAATCTCATAGGGAATAGGCATCCATGTTGAATTTGCAGTTTTGGATAAATAGAAATTGGAATTCTGAGTCCATTTAAGGTGTTAACCTTTTGGGTTTTTTACAGGAATAACCTACTTTCATTAAAAATGTATATAACATCTATATTTGCAACACAAGTTTGATTTTTACACCCTCATTCAATACAGAGATTGGTTAAGTGTAACTATGGGCAAAATGAACAGTTAGATTTATGATGCAGTCTGTCAGCCCCCTTCATTACCTGTTGTTCCTGCAGTAGATCCTTTATTTTTCCACTTCCCTTCCAGGCCAAGCTGTCTAGCAAGATTTTCAGTTATAGGGGTTGGAGCAAACCATTAAACACTGATAGGAGTGCTTAAAAAAGTCCGCATTTATTCATATGCCTTAGACCTTTTATTCCCAAAGAAAAAAAATTGCTGTAACAACTTTAAATGTGTTAACTGGAGTTAGGATTTAATTTGCTGCTTCTTTAAAACTACATCTCCATCTATGACTACCATGTCCCATAGGTTGACAATGCTGCTGTGCAATTTCTATGCAAACATCTATACTACAGAAAGTGAAAAAAGAAAAGATCTACTAGAAGAACAGCTAATAAAACTATATTACGGT